TCTTGGTTCTCGAGTAGTTGTTACATGGCTCCTCTAAATTACAATAATTACTCCCACCAAACAACTCTAATTATAAAAAAATAACTATAAGTATAACAATCAACTCTAATTATAACAAAACATTAATATAGCTATCAATGAATATCTGCTAATTATTTTCAGGCTCCTCGACGGGGATACCTCGGTTCAACAACAAAACAAGTTTGTGTACTGGTCTCTCATATGTAGAATTTTTAGCAACTAATCTAACTTTACAGACATGTCCATCTTCTCCTGCAAAGGTTTCAACAACTCTTGCAAGTGGCCACTGACATCTTGGATCTGTGTCATCCATCATTAAAACTATATCACCCTTTTGTAAGTCTGGCTGTGATTTCACCCACTTTTGTCTCTCTTCCAGCATTGCCAAAATTCATTTGCCAGATACTGGATCATCATATTTACTATGGCCTCTGCTTCCACTAGTAAGGTTCTCAGCAACTCATCATCCAATTGATAACTATGTGTTGTTAGAAGAGCTGATAGTGCATTTTTTGCTGACCTGATCATTCTTTCCCATACACCACCCATATGACTTGAATGTGGGACATTCATTTTGAAGGTAATCCAGTCGCATTTGTCTTTCAACAATTCTTGCCTTAATTTATCTGGATCCATTTCGGATAGTGCTTTCATCAATTCTCCCTGGACTCCAATGAAATTAGTTCCCTGATCTGATCGAAGTTGTCGAACTGGCCCACGGCGACATACAAATCGCCGATAGGCATTCAGGAACGAATCAGTGCTCAATGAATTTGCTGTCTCAATATGTATCGCTCGTGAATTCAGGCAAGTGAACAGTGCACTATATCTTTTCAATTCACGGCGTCCTTCCTTTATGTAAAATGGACCAAAGTAATCAACGGCACTATATGTGAAAGGAGGAGCAGGTTCTAATCTATCTTTTGGTAGATCTGCCATCTTTTGACCTCGTGAAATTCCACGTAACTTACGACATGTTACACATTTCCATACATATGATGCAGCTCTGAAAGCAATAATCCAGTAACAAGAGGAACGGATCTCATTCAAAGTCATCCCACATCCCGAGTGCCCACTCTTCTCATGTTGGTGAGAGATTATTAGACTTGTAATATGTCCATGTTTTGGCAACAGTACAGGGTGTGAGATGTCTCTTGGTAGATTAGCTCTCTTGATTCTTCCTCCAACTCTAATTATTTGTGCTTCATCCAGATATGGATCTAGTCGGAAAAGAGTACTAGTCTTCTTCAGGGTTTGTTTTTTTCGGAAATCTCTATCTGTTTTGTCATATTTGGGACCTACAGAACTAAGAATCTCATACTCTTTGTCAAATGTTTCTCTTTGTGCCAGCTTAATGATTTCTCGTTCAGCATTTTGCAATTCTTCAACATTTATGGGTACATATGTTGTATTTACAGTTTCTTTCGATGAATTTAAATCATTGTATTACTTTGGAACTTTTTTACTACGGTTCTGTAGTTTCTGCTTGAATCTCAAACATACTGCTATGGTTCTCTTTGCTTTATGCCAGCTACTGAGTACTGCAATCTGGTTAGTATATCTGCAAAGCATTCAGGTTTAACTTGTGTGGTCAATACAGTCACTTTCTTAACTTCAGGGTCATTTGCCTCAAGATCTATAGCACAATCCTCTGTTGGCAGTAGTATTTCAGCTGTTGACAAGAATTCTGGTCCCTTCCACCATAAAGAACTCTGAATTAGTTCCTTGGCAGAAATACCCCTTGATGCCAAGTCTGCAGGATTGTTGCTCGTGGCAATATGTCTCCATTGGTCACATGTTGAATAATCTTTGATTTTCTGCACTCGATTTGCCACAAAGATATGAAACCGTCTTGCCTCATTTGAAATGTAGCCTAGCACTACTGA